CTGAAGTGGGTTTATTGTTTTAATTTGTTTCACTAGAATAATCTTGGTACACAAGACTTCTATTGTTTTCCTTATTTGATGAAATTTTATAATTTATATACTCAGTAATAGATTGATATGAAAATTATTTTTATGCCCCCTTTCGAAGAGGGGAGGGCATATTGCTTTGCTGCTGTCTGTTTCGATCCACTTAGTTTCCGTTATTTTCTTCAAAACCACCTCATATACTGAAATGAAATTTGGTATACAGATATTTCAGATGAATATCTAGGTCAAGTTAGTTTGGGTACGATTTTTTTATTTTTAGCTCACCTCAACGAATTTGGGGGGTTTATTAATACCCTCGGCGTCGGCGTTGGCGTCCCAGGTTAAGTTTTTTGGAGCAGTTTTCTTTTTAAGTACTTCTATGTCCTATATTGATTAGACATGCATGGAAGATGCTTCTAATGTGTTTCATTGTACCAGTCAAAGTTTCAGATGCTGCAATTTCAGCAAAGTAATGGTCAGGTTAATGTTTTTGGAGCAGGTTAACATTTTTGGTGAGTTTTTGGTGCAGATTTCTTTTCCCAAGTAACTATAAGCCCTATGTTGACCAAACTTGCATGGTTGATACATCTAAGGATGCATACTACTGGGCTTGCTTCGGATGCTGAATCTGACCTACATTTTCCAGTTGAGTGAACAGGTTAAAGTTTTTGGTGCAGGTTTCATTTCCAAGTAACTATAAGCCCTATGTTGACCAAACTTGCATGGATGATACATCTAAGGATGCATACTACCGGGCTTGCTTCGGATGCTGAATCTGACCTACATTTTCAGGTTAAATGAACAGGTTAAATTTGTTGGTGCAGGTTTCATTTCCAAGTAACTATAAGCCCTATGTTGACCAAACTTGCATGGATGATACATCTAAGGATGCATACTACCGGGCTTGCTTCGGATGCTGAATCTGACCTACATTTTCCAGTTGAGTGAACAGGTTAAAGTTTTTGGTGCAGGTTTCATTTCCAAGTAACTATTAGCCCTATGTTGACCAAACTTGCATGGATGATACATCTAAGGATGCATACTATCAGGCTTGCTTCAGATGCTGAATCTGACCTACATTTTCCGGTTGAGTGAACAGGTTAAATTTTTTTGGGCAGGTTTTATTTCCAAGTTACTATAAGCCCTATGTTGACCAAACTTGCATGGATGATACGTCTAAGGATGCATACTACCGGGCTTGCTTCGGATGCTGAATCTGACCTACATTTTCCGGTTGAGTGATAAGGTTAAAGTTTTTGGTGCAGGTTTCATTTCCAAGTAACTATAAGCCCTATGTTGACCAAACTTGCATCGATGATACATCTAAGGATGCATACTATCAGGCTTGCTTCGAATGCTGTTTCTGATCTACAATGTACATTTTCCGGTTGAGTGAGCAGGTGAAAGTTTTTGATGCATAATTCATTTCCATGTAACTATGACTTCTTTAATGACCAAACTTGCACGGATGATACATCAAAGGATGCATACTACCGGGCTTGCTTCAGATGCTGAATCTGACCTACATTTTCTGGTTGAGTGAACAGGTTAAAGTTTTTGGTGCAGGTTTCATTTCCAAGTAACTATAAGCCCTATGTTGACCAAACTTGCATGGATGATACATCTATGGATGCATACTACCAGGCTTGCTTCGGATGTTGAATCTGACCTACATTTTGTGGATGAGTGAAAATGTTAGTTTGTGATGAATGTATCATTTCCAATTAACTATGAGCCCTATAATGAGCAAACTTGCATGGACAATACATCTTAGGATGCACACTAATGGACTTACTTTGGATGCTGAATTCGACATACATTTTTTCAGATAATAGACCAGGTAAAAGTTATAGGTGCAGGTCAATTACCAAAAAACTTGAAGGCTTATATAACATTGTATAAACCAAACCAAACTTGCACAAATGTTGCATCAGGAGATGAAAACTCTCAAATTTGCTTCAGATGCTTAATTTTAATTACATTTTCATGAACAACTAGTTTAAATTTTTTATGTACCGGTAGGTCTATTTCAATGTATTCGATCAAAATTGCTTAAATATTTTCATTTCTGGAATGTACACTTTTTGTTGGTTAATTGTGTGACTTTGCCTTACTTAAAAGACAACATTCGTTGAGGTGAGCTCTGTAATCTATGATTACCTATGTTTGACAGAGTTATACCCCTTGGACTTAGAAAAATTTCAATTATTTGCAGTTTCCCTTCATTTTCTTCGCAGAGGTTGCACATACTGAAATGAAATTTAGTATACAGTTTTATCAGATAAATATCTAGGCCAAGTTTTATTTTGGATACGATCGCTCCATTTTTGACAGAGTTATGCCCTTTTGGACCTAGAAAAAATTCAATGAGGGGGGAAGGGGGGCATTAGTGTTTTACAAACATCTCTTGTTTTATTTCAAAGTGCTAGTCCTACATGGTAAAGTTTTGGAATGATTTTAAATAAACTTGATTCAAATTAAGCTGAATAATCAAAATACATTATTCTTTGAAAGCAAAACTAAACAAAAGTAAAATTCAGATGCATCGTTATGGAACAAACTAGTAGAACAAGTCTCTTCAGAGATATCTGGTTTTATAATTCTAGATTAATTTTGTTGTAGTTGTTCACAACAGAAGTCTTGGAGTTGCTGTTTAAGCATCACTTTATGGACAGAAATGTCAACCCCCAGGTACTGGTAGTGCTGGAGACTGTATCTAAAACTCATCCTGAAAACCTGGAACAATTTATGGAGGAATATCTGATGAAGACTGAACTCATGATGGAACTAACTGCTCACTACCAATTCACCATCTTAGTAAGGATAGCAGCTAAATGTAAGGTGTGGTATTTAATTGTATGCATACATGTTATAAGCAGTAGATTAAAGATTTAATGTATACTGTAGCTGAATGTTCAGAGCAAAGACAGACTTTGAAGTAAATGCCAGTTGTCATTCTTTGTTTCTGATTCCTATGCAGAATAAACAAGGCGTAGTGTATACATATTTGATGAAGCGACTGAAAGAATCGAACACTGAACAAGTTCTGACATCAAGCATACAGGGACTAAGAGAATTACATTCAATCTATGGTGCCGAAATTTTCACCTCAGAAGACAGGAAGTTTATAGAGAGTTTAAAAACAAAGGGAATGTCTCAAACTTTGAGAGATCTAGCAGATAATCTGATAGATGAATTGGAAGGCAGAAGGTAAACATTTTTATGACTTAGCCAAAGCTCAAATGAACTTTTATGATTTCTTGGTCATCCATCTGTAGTTATTGTCATTGGGTAACTTTTCATTTTATCACCATCTTCAGAACCACTGGGTCAATTGCCATCAGACTTGGCATATATGTTTCTTGTGTTCATATGTACATAAAACTCAATATTATACCGGGTACATATTTATATTAGTCTAGAGGGAGTGTCCAAAGGCATTGAAGAGCAGTCAGGACAGATAGAAAAGTTAGAGGTGGGCGTGGCGGGAACAAAGGTTGTACTGAAAAAGGTACAGACAGACGTCAATCAACAGGGAGAGGAGATAGACAGTGTCAGGGAGGGGCTGGGCGAGGTCAACACGCGGGTGGATCGCGTAGAGGTGGAAGTGGAGGAGACAAAAGAGAGAGTGGAGGAGGTGGATAAAAAGGTAAAAATTCACTCATTGTTTCTGATTTTATTCTGCTTTCTAAGTTCATACTAATTTTATACGAGATTGTATATCAGTGGATATAAGGCTAGTAAAGTGTTTTCTTATATTTAAATGAAAATATTTTAATGTATGTTCCAGACAATGAGTAATGCCCCTACTTGGTCTCGAGATGTTACAAAGCTGTTGAACCCGGAATCTGAGCATGACTGGAGACTCCTGGCTAGTCGCCTTGGTTACAGTCCTGATGACATCAGAGGCTGGGCCACCCAATCAGATCCCTGCATGGCCCTGCTGAGCGAATGGTATGCCACACACAAGACATTTGAGGCTTCTAAAGGTGTCCTGAATATCCTGCAGGAGATGAATCGTTTAGATGCGGCCATTATTGTAGAAAATGCCATGAAAGCTGCAGGTTTGATTTATATTTATTTTCAAACAAAAAGAATCCAAATATACACATGCATCAATAAATTTATTTTTAACTGTAAAGATAAACATGGTATATTGGGTTTTATTCTAAGTCTATAATAGCTCACTCTCAGTAATTTGAACTTTGTGTAAGATTTTATTTTTTCTTCCAGAGGGTGTTGTGGCAGATGAGCCAGTGGATTACCCAGAACCCCCTGAGATCTTCCTTAGTTACCAGTGGGGTCACCAGAATGAGGTCAAACTCATCAGTCGCCACCTGGAGATGGCAGGGTATAAATGCTGGATGGATGTGGGGCAGATGGGAGGTGGGGATAAACTGTTTGAGAAGATTGATTCTGGGATAAGAGCGGCCAAAGTTGTCATCTCTTGTGTGACAGAGAAATACGCAAAATCACCCAACTGTAACAGAGAGGTAGATAAGCAATAAAAAATGAATAAAAGTTTTTTTTTATTTCTAATTTTACAGGAATTTCTTATGACCAGTTTATATCAAAAGTGAAATTATATCTGACATCAGAAGATCATCAGTTAGTCTAGCTGACATCATTGAACTGACTGTTCATTTTGTATCCCTGAATGACTGGTATACTTTACAATATATAGGAATTAATTTTTACAATGGCAGGTCAATTTGTCTGTGAACCTTGGGAAACAAATGATCCCACTTCTCTTAGAGAAAATGCCATGGCCCCCAATGGGTTCAATGGGACCAATCTTCAGTGAGTACCTATTCATCAGATTTTTCCAAAGACCAGGGGAGGAAACCAAGGATGACCGAATCTGGCCAGTTGCCAAGTTTACGGAACTTCTCATGCAGCTCAACTGTTTGAAAGTGATGCCAGATCAGCAGAATATTTCACAAGGTTGGTTAACTTTGATTTTATTAATCCTACATGTATGTATCACAGAGATAATTTGCAGACTTAAAACCATTGCTTGAAGCTGCCCTATAAACCAAATGGTGTAAAGGATGAGGATGAAGAACCAGTCTCAAGTTGATTGTGTTCCTCTCTCTCTATAATTTAAGTTTACCACTCAATCATTTTCTTGTCATTGTACAATTAAATTCTACTGACCTGTTAAAGAAGTGCTTTTACAATTAGAATGTTTCAGTGTTGGATACACATAGTTATATATTATTACAATGAGAACCAAAACGATATCATAGCTTTGTCCATGAAATATTTTTGTGTGTGTGTCATCTAACAGTTATTAATGAAACGTGTATCCTTTTCCAGCGTAACCAGTGGAGAATGTAATTTTTTTTCACTCTTTACAGAGTATAAGAATTGGTGGATACCAGTGGTGGAGAACATTGTAATCCCTAGAAAACGAGACAGAAAGGGGGACAACTCACCTCCAGCAGCTGACAAGCAGAAGGTGAGGGATTCTAAGAGATATAAATTAAACAAATGGAAATATAGCACCTGTCTCACCATTTCATTAACATTTGCACAGTTGTCACAAAATAAACATTTACATAACATTCCTCAAAAGGGATCAATACTCATATTTTAGATACTTGTTTTGCTTTGTGTAAAGAATAGAATGTTAGGAAACATATCTGATTTATACGAGACAAACATCATACAAGTAGCAAAAAATATTCAAATATTTTATATAAAACATATATATCTTACTCAATGACAAAAAGTCAATACTGTATACAGGGTTATAGTTGCCCCGTGTTGTTTTTGTCCTTTTATACTTTCAAAAATTTTGCCCCATTTTAAATTCACCCAATCAAAATTCCGTTTAAGAAATTATGTTGCGCTCTTTGATTTCACTCCATTTTTATTTCACCCACATGTGACAAGGGCAAAAGGAGCAAAAATTAAAACAGCAGTGAAAATTTCCCTGTATACAATTTTTAGAAAAATTGAGGAAATAGGATTTATCATCTCATCGTGACTTTACAACTTAATATGTATGTATTCAGCACTAATACTAGTAATTATGGGGTCTCAACTTTATCTTGAGTGAAGGAAGGAAAAGTTTTTGTCAATTTTTCAGTTTCTTTGAACTATTATTTAATTTATGAGAAAAACAATGTTTCAATAAAAAGGACATACCCGGTACCTGTTTTTTTTTTTAGGCTACATCAGCGGTGGTCTCCCCTGACATCTTCATCTCCTACCAGTGGGGTAAACAGAAGGAGATCTCAGCCCTGAACCAGAGACTGACCAGTCAGGGCTTCACCTGCTGGATGGACATCCACCAAATGGGGGGAGGGGATTCCCTGTATGACAAGATTGATCGTGGGGTCAGAGGTTGTAAGGTCGTCCTGTCCTCGGTCACCACCAAGTACGCTCTGTCTGCCAACTGTAGGAGAGAAGTCAGTCTGGCTGATGCTCTGAAGAAACCTATCATCCCCATGCTGATGGAAAAAATAGACTGGCCCCCAGGTGGACCAATGAGCATGGTTCTTACACAACTATTATATGTTAACTTCTCAAAGGATGAGTCCATTCAATTATCATGGGAAGGAAAAGCATTTGATGAACTGCTAAAGAAGATTGAGGAGCACATTCCCAATGAAAGTACTTATCAGGATGAGAAGACAGAGAGACCATCAAATGTCTCCAAATTTGTAAACTCTTCTGCAAATGATAGTGATGGGAAAAAGCAAGGTGACCTTGAAAGAGAAATTCCCTCCATTCAGAAAATTAACCCACCATCAGTGTCTGTTCAACCACAGACAAAGTCTGCTAGTGTTGAACAAAATAGTCTAGTACAGTCCTACACAAATGATCAGTCAGACAAAAATGACATCAAAAAGAAATCAGCAACTTGTTGTATATTATAATATATTTGTGCAATTAGAAATAAAAATTTAATAACAAGCATTTTCAGTGATTGAAATAATAAAAGAAGAGAAATTTCTAAAGTCATGCTTTAGCAATTTTATCAACCACATCAATTATTCCATTGTCTTGGAGTCATGTACCTCTATCAATATTGTGAAAGTTGTATCCTCTGAATACATTAAATAATTTTTGTGATATTTAATTCTGTAAACACAGCAAACAAAACCGAATGTTCAAATTATTTCTACTATATGTCTACTACCCTGGCTACCCGGGTATATGATCAGTTAAAGTAGCCCCACCATGGTGCTCAGCAGGAAGTGCATCAAGAAGAAATCTGAATTTTAATAATTGTTTCGAACAATTTAATGTCTTGCCCCCCCCCCCCCCCCCCCCCCCCCCAAAAAAAAAATTAAAAAAGAAAAGCATTGAGAAAACTCGTGGTTGTGTGATGTCCAGAAAATGTTTATGAAATTAAGTAATGCTGCAGTTTAATACTATAACTGTTTAGACTCGATGATTAACTGCATCAGGAACATAAAAGTACAGCTGCCACTGAAGTACATCATAAATGCATAACAATTTAACAGGTAAAATGATCAAGTATTAGCTTAATAACATCTGCAGCAAACAGTCCTCTGACTACTAGATGTATATAAACCTGTAAATCAAAGATATTTGACCACTTTTCAGAGATCATGAGTTTAATAAATAGAGTCATATTTGTTGCTTGTGTTCTTTTCACATTTGTTTCAGGTAGGTTAAATGTCTCGAACTTTGTTTAAAACATAATTTTAAAAATGCTATATTTTATATCAAATAATTAACTACAGACAAACTTTATCTTGAACCTAATGGGTCTTAATTGGGACAAAACTTCCAGATATCTCGGGATTCCAGATACCGAGAGTAAAATACTTAAAGAATATGTGGTTGGAACTTCAACATCACTTTGACATATACTTGGTATTCGAGATGTCAGAGTTCAAGATATCGAAGTTCAACTGTATTTGTAATTATAGTGCTATGTGAAGTACTGTAAACCAACTTTTATTCGCGAGCGAGAAATCAGCGAATTTTGTGATCTTTTAGTCATAAAATCAATGTAAATGGCTGTGTACCATTTATTTTGCTTTGTATTTGTATAGCATGTTTCCTTACTAGTAAAAATTAATCATCGCTGATTGATTTCAAACTGACAAATTGCAAATAAAAGATGACGCAAATAATAGCTGGTTTGCAGTATTAAGCATGCCTACTTTAATTATTTCCCAGGTAAGCAGTGCAGCTACCCGTACAGGGCGCTCGGTTCCAACTGTTACTACTTCAGTACAGATAAAGCATCCTGGGACGAGGCTTATGTAAGAGATAGGGCTTCCTTTCTTCTCAATAAATTTTCTTTCCATATACACAAGGTTAAAAATTAAAGAGATATGATACATCTGATTTTTCTTGGTCTCTATAAAGTACTTTTTAAACTGCAGAAAATAAAATATTACGCAGATATCCATTTGCTTATAATAAAAAAAAGTTTACATTGTATACAAAGAATAACCTTTGACAGGTGAATTGTTTTCACAAAGGCGGATATTTGGCAAACCTGGAAACTCTTCATGAGTATCTTATTATGCGATACAAACTGGCAGGAATGAAAAATGGTAATGTTTGTATAAAAAGAAGGCAGTCTAATGGTAATCATGTACATGTAACTCGCATGTCTGTCATAAATTGATAATTATTATACCCCCGGCTTGAAAAGTGATCGGGAAGTCCATCCATCTGTTAGTTTGTCTTACTCTTTAGGGTATCCATCTCTTATCCGCAACATCTCTCTTACTACTGAATGAAATTTAATAAGACTTTCTCAGAATCTTTGTTATATAGTAAAACTATTGTGCACCTCCTATTTTACTTTTTGATCACAGAGATGTTAAAATAATGGACAGACATCCCAATCAATATATACCCCCCCCCCCCACTTTTCAATCGGGGGTATAAGTATTCGACTGAGTAATGCATATGGCTTTTGAAGTAGAGTGTTAAACTACTGTATCAGGGGAAATTGTCGTTCGATACAATGACCTTGTCAGCAAATAAAATTTATCATCAAGTCAAATGCTGACTGACGTTTTTCATACTATTGTTTATGGCATGCCAAATTCACAAAAATGCAATAAACCTAGTTTCACATTTGATAAACTAGGTTTATCGACTGTAAACTATAGTTTACAAACCGTAAAGTATAGTTAACGATTCGTTAAGTATAGTTTTCAACTGTAAACAATATTTAACGGTTGTTAACTATAGTTTACGAATGATAATCTAAGTTTATCTGTCTGTAATAAGCGTTAACTCTATTAGATTTTGTTGATAAACATAGATTCACGTTTGTAAACTATAGTTTACAATCGTAAACTATAGTTAAGAGTTGTTAATCATAGTTTTACAAATCGTGAAACTATATTTATCAGATCGTTAACTATAGTTAACGGTTTGTAAACTATAGTTTACAAATCGTGAAACTGTATTTATCAGATAATCTATGTTTTGCAATCGCAAATGATTGTTTTCAGTGTTAAGTATAGTTTACGGTTGTGAAACATAGATTATCGCGTTAACTATGGTTTACGGATGTAAAATATAGATTAACGTTGTTAACTATAGTTTACAGTCCGTAAACTATAGTTTACAACCGATAAACCTAGTTTATTGACTGTGAAACTATGTTTAGCTCATTTTTGTGAATTTGGCGTGCCATAATTGTTAGCTAGTCCATTTAATTTATACATTGAATCAACAACGCATTTTTCCGTTATTTCCCCATCATGACAATCAACACATGGCTGGTGTGACCGGTCGACAGGGGATGCTCACTCCTCCATGGTACCTGATCCCACCGCTGATGTTTTAGAAGTCCGTGTTTGCTCGGCTCCTATTTTGAATTGTTTTATGGACTTTTGATCTTGATTACTGTTCGTTACCTCCATATGTTTCATCTTCAATTTCATCTCCTTAAATTAATTCCCACCCCCGAGTTTCAGCTTCAGAAATACAAAGACCCATTACTGTTGAGTTGAATGTTACTGATATTTTTTCAGACAAATTCTTAGGCCATAAAACAGATTGGGATGTATAGTAATGGGGTGTCTGTCCATCTATTTGTCTGTACTTCTGTCCATTATGCTTTGTGGTACCCTAATCTGCAACTTGTCCTATACCACTGAATAAAATTTAATGACGCTATCAAAGAATCTTTATTATATAAATGGTGCCTGTTTTGGAGGGTAACATTTGAAATTGACACCCCAAGGAAAACCATTGTCAACCGACGCGTCAGCGGAGGTTGACAATGGTTTTCCGAGGGGTGTCAATTTCAAATGTTACCCTCCAAAACAGGCACCATTTATTTTATTATACTGAATGTCTTATTGATTAAGGACGTCAGCAAAAAAAAAAAAAAAAAACGTCGATCGTCTTTACGTTCATGTATTAGAAAGATTTCACACTCACCGGTTCACTAATCTCCTTATTGTTTGTTTGATACTCGAATTAGAGTCATTTATCATATTTAAAGCTTCGTTATTTCTGGCTCGCAAGCATGTTTCCTACACTCGCAAGCATGTATCGTCTGTCGTTTGTTGTTATCGGACGCAAGCTTTTATTGACGTCAAGTTAATTCCGGTTCTTTCAAACGCGCAACTGACGTTTTGAGAATTCTACGGTGAACCGTACGCGCATAATTTCCACGCATGTGGCATTACCGTTGTGTTACCCGTTGTCACGTGTGTTGCTAAGGCTCAGGGTAATCGAACGGATTGTTAACTGCGTCTAAACCAATCAGATTTTAGTATTTAACTTGAAAGTATAATAATACATAATGTCACTGTGTGAATCATTTGTATATAACTTTTTGATCAGACACATATTTCAGATTTTCCATATCCATATATGGACACTTAAATGTCCTTCTTTCCATTATATCCAGGGTACACATATACCGGTATCCTTCCAAAGCAACTTCATGTGTGCATGACAAATCATTTGACCATACAAAAATTCAAAGGACAAGTTAAAAAGGCTTATCTGTGGTCCCTAGTTACTCGTCAAATTTCAAACATTTATCAAAAGCCTTAAAAATTAAATTTTATTATTAAGTTATGTCTTTATTATTTGAGTCATCATCTAAAATGTCAAATAATAGATATACGCAGCATACAAAGCTGCGTATTGAAGTTGGGGTCCTTTGATTTTTATGAATGTCAAAAGAAATCACTGACTGGTACACATTTTAATTAGAGCTTTTGTAAACACCGAGCACAGGTTTGTTCAGAGTCGAGTTTGATATAATTTGTATACTATATATATAAATATATATTGTGTAAAGGTTCAGTAAAAATTTCTTTGTTGATCAACCTTGTGCTCTATGTTTTCTATTTAAAAGTACTGAGATTTTGAACCTCTTCGCTGTCTTCATTTACATGCAGTTAACCTCTTTATGACCTGTTTAGAATCATAACAATTAAGCCACGTGAATTTGTGTCGTTACGGGTATATGTCCCCAATATATATGTGCTTGCAAGTTCTCAGTTGAAACGTACTCAGTTTTATATTGGTCACCATGGACTTATTTGATCAATCTTGTTATAGTGTTGCATTGCTCAAGTTTTGTAAATAGAAAATTGATTTGTAGCTGATTGTGAATCTTGAACATATAATTCGTCTTTGAAAGGAAAATATATATCAAGGATATTCTTTTTATAGTATCTAATCTAAATGTCTCCGCCATTTCCATGTAAAAGAAAAACCGTATATAGTCTAATGGGGGAAAATGTTCCAGCATTTTTTAGTGCGATGGGTGTTGAAAATTGGCTTGTATTTTTTTGATATGTTTAATTATTCATTATAATACACAATGCTTTGATTAGAAATACTTTGATTTATACACAATAAAAGCAAGCAAAATACCCCTTGCTAATATCTACCCAGTAAACCAAGGGTGTAAAAACTAAAAGGGACCATGCTACTATACTTAAGTAGAAAATTCCTTTGGTTCTGAATGCTGACAAAGCTAGTGGTACTTTTTGACTCCCTCTCCTTAGTGAAATAGACAAACACAGAATAATTTGTATACTGTACTTTAAAAGGACAGCATTATGCCATCGGGGGACGAGATATGAATCGGGGGATAAAGGGAGGAGACTGGAGGTGGGTCAGAAATGGACGTGTGACCAGGATGTCCTACTTCGCCTTTAGTCCTGGAGAACCTAGTGGTACCAAGGCATCACCAGAACTCTGTTTATGGCTTCTCTCTAATCACCAATATCAATTTGCAGATGTTCCTTGCAATTCAGTTGCACGATATGTGTGTGAAAAATGAAGATCTTTAAATATTTTTTGACCAAGTAGACTTTTTTTTTAATCTTTTATGAATGGAATTGTTTTGCAGTAATAAATATTCTTTGCAATAACATCATCTAGTTGGGCTTACTTTATACTTTTACTATAAATGACAGCTACATGATATGTGGAAATTTTTTTTAATTACAAAAACAGGCTGTTATTATCTGTTAGGAATGATTCTTGGTTTACACATATCCACTTTGGCAGTCTGGATGTGGAAGGCTGGGGCCACCCAAGCACCACATGGACACCTCTCCCCGTACCAGATGTAGGAGCCAATTTTACAGCTGCATTTGGGACAGGCCAGCTTTCCTTCCAGATCCTGGATGGACCCCGCCATCCACCGGACAGGCTCGATAAAGTACGATAAATCACAAACTCTCTCCGCCTCATCAGGGGATTTTTCCACTTTCTCTGAGGACACTTTTCCTCTCCAGTCAAAAGCCACTTCTCCATCTCCCACTGTGTGCTTCATAATCCCAGACTGCCTAAACAAGGCATGCCTGCACTTTCGACATTTAAACACTGCGTCATTTTTCTTGATCTCCTCAGTTGTGTCAAAGTAACTGGACTGTAGTTTGGATCGCTCCTCAGCAGTAGTTCCCTGTAAGTTGGTGGCCAGTTTCTTTAGTCTGTATTGTCTGAACTTCTCATGGGTTCTATCTATTGTGCAGTCCATTTCTTCAAACAAAAGAAGTTGTGAAACGAATCCATCATTGGGGGATACCATTGGTCTCATACTCTTCACAAGTTCTAATGCTTCACTATAACTCAGTTTTTTCTTATTCATTAGATAAGCAATCACAATGGTGGCACTTCTGGAACATCCCATCATGCAATGGACAAGAACACCTCCTCTATTATCTAGAGCGTCATCTATAAACTCAAAACATTCCTCAAAATGGCTGAGAAGGTCAGTGAATTCTAAGTCAAAGCCATAGACAAATTTATATTTGTAAGTGTCTGTGTAGCTCCTGTGTAGAGGGACATTGTTGATGGTGAGGATGTGTGTCACGTTGTTCTGTTTGAGTTGATCTGTTCTGTGGACGGCCTTCTCTCCTCCAATGTAAATGTTGTCCACTATCTGACTGATGTCACAATCCCTGGAGTCTGTCATTCTGAACCCTGCACCTGGTCTGAAATAAACAAAAATAAAAGTTAACAATGCAGTTGAAACATTTTATGAACTATTACGTACTATGTGTACAGTCAAGAATCCAATAATCTGTGTGCTTAATATATATGGCATTCTGGCTTAAAATACAAACTTCTAAGATTATTTATTGGAACGAAGTTTTATAATATAATCAAAGTACTGTGAGTACTGAAAGACGGTGGCATGAATGATTTTGTTTATTTAACGTCCATTTATTAAGAAAAGAATAAAATTTTCAGCAGCGATGGATTTTTCTGGCTAGCAATTACTGCGACACGGGATCTTAATCTGAATTAATGGCCAATATCCATGTCACGCAGTGGGAGTCGAATCCGCTACGTAAAGATGGACTTCTTCAAGTCCGTTAGATAGAATGATCTATCGTTAAAATGATAAATGTCCTACGGACCCGGTTTAACGGCTTGTCCCGAGACACAGTTAGATTATTCTAACTACATGTACAAGTCTGTGAGTCCAAAGCAAACCCGCTACCGTAACGTCAGATGGCGACTTGCAGTAAATAAGATAAAATGTTTTAAATTTTTGTAAAATGAATTGGGAATTATTTAAAATTTTATTCCGATTTTTCACAATATATCTACCTGTATTTTAATATTTAAATTTATATTTTTGTACTAAAAAGTAAATTGTAATCAATTCTCACTGTGATTTAGAATGTTTACGCACTATCTTAAGTACATTTGTCATCAAAAAACACAGCAAACTTCAAATAGGTATATGCATTTATAAATAAACAATTGCAAATTATAAGATTTCATTTAATGTGTTACGGATGATAATGTCAAAGTGTCTAAAGCAGCGTCAAGTTTCCTCTTTGATAAAAACACGTTGGATAATTCCCACTTAATTCAAGGTGAAGATTTATTAGTACTAAAGTTATGGATCAATATTTTTACTATCATTTAACTAAATAATCTTATACATATATTGGCTATCAACATTGTCAGCGCCTTTCGCTATTTCTGTAGCTGTTTGTTCTACCCTTGGATTTGATTAAAACGATTATCTTAGAAAACTCCCATTTCTCTATTACACTAAAGAGGAAAAAACTGAACTGCTTTCCAGACCACTTTTATTTCGAAACAATACTCGTATTATTTTCATAACCGGGGTTTTTATCGTGTGTAACATTAAAGCATGTTGATAAAGTATTATTTTTTTTTTGTCTAAAGTGTATCAAAAGAATTCAGATACATTAAAATATGATAAATAAATACTTGTTAAAAATTTCATATTGCAGCGCCCACTATCTTACGAGAAAAAAACGCTTTGTACACGACAACCCTCGTATACTGCTCGAAAAAAGAGAAAAAAACAGAATAACAAAATATTTTTCTGTCTCTATTTTCCGTCGTCTCAAGTCACGATCAGAGTCTGTATATATACGTATGGAGCTTTCCCCAGAATTGAATATCTTATACATTTTCGCCGTGGTTTGCGATTATGTTATTTCTCATACGTAATATTCTAATATGCAACGTCCTTGCGAGTCCCAGTGCATATTTACTGCTTGATGAACACACTAGAATACTGACCGAAATTCAGCCCAAAGCCACATTCCTTTTTATATGATTCAGCTAAAATCACATAAAAATCCTAATACTAATATTAATTCATGCACATGTATTTGAGTTCCTTTTTCGTATATTTTCGGTTAAATTTATTAGAGGCACGCTAGAGTATCTAATAAATAGGAATGAAATATATGGGTAAAATGTGTCCGTTATAGTCTTTGTAATTATAAATTTGACAAATTATACGTTAAGTCGTTTTTGTGTCCGAGATAATCAAACAAAGTCTTATTTTCAAAAACTAGAATGATGATAAACTTAGCAAATTTTATGGCATCATATACCTCCAACAACCATCACTACGAACTGATTAAGATGTAGTGATCTTTTTTCTTCTTACCTAAAGTACATATCTTCGTTTTACTAATATAGCATTGAAAACAGATACAAGAAACAATCAAAAGACTTTGTTAAATTACATTAAACTATTCAAGTTTTATTGTAAAAAAAAACCACAAAGCAGTATTTCAGTAAAAAACAGCCGTGTGTTGTTTAGCAATTATTTATTACTAGCAGTTGATTTCAGAGTTATATTTTTCAACAAATATTCGGTAATTTAAAGAAACACAACGTGCATAGAAAATGATTTTTCGAACATGTGAGAAAAAACGAGAAAATTGTGTACGAGTTGAAATGTGTAGTTTGCACACGAATATACGAGTCGGTTGGTGTACGAGTTAGTTTAGTTCGGTGTAATGAATATTCATGAGGCGAGAAATACTGATAACGGCATATTATCAGGAGTTAGGCTTTGTATCCATCAACGAAATGTCTTTAAAATACCTTCAATGTATTTGTTACCTATGTACATTTTATTTTCAAACATCGAAATCAGTCTACTTTCATTATTTTGACTTTGCAAAAATCGCCGCTAGGGTCCCCGTGTGTTTACACTGACCAGCAGCTATAGCCTGTGGCTATAAATAGCCACCGTCTAATCAAAAGTATGTACAGTCAAAGCAAATCTTGTATTAAAATGAAAAATTCTCACACAGAATTCTTTGACATCAAACTAGGGGTAAAGCAGGGAGATAATCTAAGCCCAACCTTATTTAAAAATTTTATCAATGATTTACCTGAGTATCTTCAAGACACCCCTAATCCCATCTTACTTAATGATAAGGTAATTAACTGTCTTATGTATGCTGATGATGTGATATTGTTATCTCAGACAGCAGTAGGTCTTCAATCTAAATTGCATAAATTACAGTCATTTTGTAATGATTGGTGTCTGGAAGTGAATGTAACAAAAACCAAAATTCTGATATTTAATAAAGCGGGTCGTTTGATAAAAAATGAATTTAAGCTGTTTGACCAGGTTTTGGAATCTGTGTCTTCTTATAGATATCTAGGGGTACTCTTTAGTGCCTCTGGAACCTTCTCATATGCTCAGGAAGACCTGTATAAAAAAGCTCTAAAGGCATTTTATAAACTGCAAAAAGAATTTTTGTCTTTGAAGCCAAGTGTTAAAACATCCCTACATGTATTTGATCATACAATAAAACCCATCTTGCTTTATGGATGTGAAATATGGGGGAACATTAATCGACCAAGTATTTTTCGTAAAACCTCCAAACTCTCTGTATATGATATTTTTAGTAAGTTGAAGTGCGAGAATCTACACTTAAAATTTTGTAAGAATATATTGGGACTGCATAGGAAAAGTGCAAACTTCTCCTCATTATCTGAGCTTGGTAGGCTCCCCCTTCATTTTGATATTATAAAAAGTATTTTGAATTATGTCCATAGATTAGAATGTCTAGATATGTCATTCCCATTATTGAGAGCAGCATATTCTCAAAGTAAGATTAATTGGAGTAACAGTATACCATCTTGGTATGGAACATATAGTAAAATTGCAGAAATGATAAACGTTAATAAGGATATTTTGTCTAACAAATTGCAAACTTTCAAGATAAAATGCAAAAAACATTTAATTTCATACTACATGAATGAGTGGAACTTGATTAGATTGTTACAAGAAGGTAAACTGGATACTTATGTGAAGATTAAAACAAATTTTGGACTTGAAAAATACTTACTATGCCTGCCATTTGAACAAAGAAAATTAATATGTAGGTTGCGTACATCTTCTCACAATTTACAAATTGAAAGAGGCCGGTACTTTGGCATTCCTAGAGATCAGAGACTTTGTACTAAATGCTCAATGAATGTTATTGAAGATGAAAAACACACACTTTTTGAATGTTTGAGTTTTGTTACAGAACGAGAGAATATGATTAATGTTATACAAAGACACTGTATCAATTTTTCTCATTTAAATAATGAAAATAAGTTGTTGTGGGTTCTAAATTGTGAAAATATTGAAGTACTTTCAGCTGTTTGTGAACTGGTTAGACAAGCCATATAAAATACTGATGCATATAATGTGGTATTTCTCTTTATAATAATAATAGGTGCATGTAAACACTGTATGTACTAAATTTAAAAAAAAAAAAAAAAAAAAAAAAAGAATCTATAGTGAAGTTCTTGTGAATTGATCAAGGGTGCAATAAAGTGTGTCTTCTACATGTATTAAGAAATTAAAAAAAATTTGTATACTTCAAACACTTAATAAATATTACTTGTTCATAAGATATGCAAACAAAACATGGTGAATTATAAAGTACCAATGCACTGTCCCGTGGTATCTTTTGCAATTTAGTGGAATATAGCTACTCAGTATGTATGTGTGTGGACATATATATATACGTGTATGTATGTATGTGTTGGTATGTATAAAAAAAAAATATATATATATATATATATATATTTTTCATTTCTGTGTATGTATATCTCTGGCTTTTTTGCATTATGGTACACGGTGGTACTTCTTTATATATTTTTAATTACAATATGTATTTAAAGTTCACATGTTAGCAATTATTTCAACTTATGAACCATGTGTAAATTATTAAGTATATACATGTACTAAGAACACATCACATCTTATTAATAACTATTATATGCTCTGTTTAATAATCATGTATGTAATATGCCCACAAGGGCCCTGATCTGGAATAAATCTATTCTATTCTAAGAAAAAAAAAATTCTATATGGTATTCAGACAAATTTCATTGCTAAATGGTTAAAGTCCATGTTTTGATTCCCAGTCCAGCCATATATAATTAGGAGTATTTGTCCACTCCATAACTATATTTAGTGCTGTGACCTTGATCTGGAATTGAATGAATAGACCTGCCATGGAATATGCTTGGTTGGTGTACAGTATGTATACACTTATTTGTTTAGGAACAAATATACATTTTAGGGATGAAGGTATTGGTCACAATTTATTTTCTTTTTTGTTACATTTGGTACCATTATTAGCTCTGGAAGGGACAGGAGAAAAATTATCAAGTCATAATATATAGATAGCCTAGCTTGTAGGTGTCTCGCAGGGGAAAATACTTTTGGACTTAAAGATGGAAGGGGAAATGTGGCACTCATACAGGTTTGATTAATGATGGTCAGATAGCCTAGATGGTAGAGGGTCTGACTAATAAGATATGAAGATGATACAAGTAGTCCATGCTGTCTAACCCGTACTGTTTCTTTTGTTATAAAATTATAAAACAACAATTTGGCTTTACCTGTGTAAAACTAAATAAAAGGTCCCAAAATTTCACTAAAATGGAAACATTTTCACATTTAACCATATTCGTTTTGACCAGAATGCCAGCTTTCATAATAACTCCTGCAAGTAAAAACTGTTACTGTACTATAGTAACTATATGCATACTCTATGTGGTATGGCAATAACAATATCAGAGGAAATTCGGGAAACCAATACACATGGTACGGTATTTCACAACCTGAATATTTTTTTCTTTGATATACAAATATGTCTCTAACAATTAAGCTACACATAATTAAGTATTGTTACCTAACACCGACTTCAAAAAGGTCCCTAACAGTCCTGTAAATCTTCAGAAAGTTAAAGTTGATATAATCATTTGACAGCTCTTTTGTTGAGTAAAACAAAAAAGTGGAGCGCCCGAGGGGTTGCGAAATGATCACCGGGAGATACGGATGTTAAGTAGGCTAGATGCAACAATTATTTAGAACTTGGTTATTTAATAAACTTTGAAGGAAGAAAAGGAGTTGGACAGGTAAGTGTTACGTTCGAAAAAATGTGATTAAATCTGTCAATCACTCAACATGCTCAATGGCTTGTTGATGTTTACGAAATGCATGAATTTTGTAACTGTAAGACTCATTTGATTAGACTGAAACTTTGTTCATCATGTAAACTTATTTAGTCCAGTCCAAACGCTATTTGTAGGCACGTACAGGTATTTAACATGTTTAAATCTACTGGTAGCTATTTCTACTACCTATTTTTACCTGACTGACAAAAAGAAAAATAACTAGACCTATTTTTGTCGTTCAACAAAAACGGAGGGCTTTTCGACCCCTTAAAAATTAAGAGCTTAAAAAACTTACATGATATAAAACTCATAAGGTTCAATTTCAAAGAGGTTCTTTTGAGATAATACTGAATTGGAAACATGTGACTCTCTATGTCCATTACCGTCTACTTAAAGAGACATAACTCTTTCATTATTATCTAAAACATACGAAAAATACAGTTTTTCATTCAGCTAAAACTCCTATACGCGGTCAAAAAGTGACCCCACGGCCCACAATTTTTACATTGTACTCTTAAAGCTGAACCCAAAAGCGAAAACAATTTAAAAATTGGTTGAGAAATACAAAAGTTATAGGTAAAAGTGTGTTTTCAGGTTTAATCCCTTGAAATCCCTTATTTTAAAGAAATCTACTTTAAAACACCTAATGAGGTCAGAACAAAGTCAAGGTCATTTAATGCATCTAATTTCACAAGATCTTGCTTACATTTAGAGAAAACGTGAAAAGTGTGATTTCAAATTTAACATAGAGACTCCCATAGGCAATTTTCAAAGGCTTATATCACCGGAAGTAATTAATCTGTGTGTACCAAAATTGAAACCCAAAGAATTCATTTGCATACCTATAGCCATGAAAAGGGAGATAACTTGTACTAAATGTATTCTTTAAAAAATAAAAATTTCATTATTTAAGTCATCTGAAACTCCTATAAAAGGGTCAAAAAGTGGCCCCACGGCTCATAATTTTTACATTGTACTCTTTAAGCTGAACCCAAAACCGAAAACAATTTAAAAATTGGTTGAGAAATAAAGAAAGTTAAAGGGAAAAGTATGTTTTCAGGTTTGGCCCCTTAAAATCCCTTAATTTTAATAATTTTTCTTTAAATACCTAATAAGGTCGTAACAAGGTCACAGTCATTCTATACTTCAAATTTCACAAGAATATCTTGATTACTTTTAGAGAAAAAGTGAAATGCGTGATTTTAAATTTAACATAGAAACTCCCATAGACAATTTTAAAACACTTACATAACCGGAAGTAATTACTCTGTGTGTACCAGAATTGAAACCTTAAGAGTGCATGTACATATCAACAGTCATGCAAACGGCAGATAACTTGTACTTTATGTGTTTTTCAACAAATTAAAATTTCATAATTTCAGTCCTCTGAAACTCCTATAAGGGGTCAAAAAGTGACCCCACGGCCAATGATTTTTACATTGTACTCTTTAAGCTGATCCCAAAACCGAAATCCATTTAAAAATTGGTTTGGAAATAAAAAAGTAACAGGGAAAAGTATGTTTTCAGGTTTGGCCCCTTAAAATCCCTTAATTTTAATAATTATACTTTAAATACTTAATAAGGTCGAAACGAGGTCACAGTCATTCTATGCGTCGAATTTCACAAGAATACCTTAGTTATTTTTAGAGAAAGAGTGAAATGCGTGATTTTAAATTTAACATAGAAACTCCCATAGACAATTTTCAAACACTTACATAACCGGAAGTATTTACTCTGTGTGTACCAGAATTGAAACTTTAAGAGATCATGTATATATCAACAGTCATGCAAAGGGAGATAACTTGTACTTTATGTGTTTTTCAACAAATTACAATTTCATAATTTTAGTCCTCTGAAACTCCTATAAGGGGTCAAAAAGTGACCCCACGGCCCATAATTTTTACATTGTACTCTTTAAGCTGAACCCAAAACCGAAAACAATTTAAAAATTGGTTGAGAAATAAAAAAGTTACAGGGAAAAGTATGTTTTCAGGTTTGGCCCCTTAAAATCCCTCAATTTCAAGAATTTTACTTTAAATACCTAATGAGGTTGAAACAAGGTCATAGTCATTCTACATCTCGAATTTCACAAGAATATCTTGATTAATTTTTGATTAAACATGAAATGCGTGATTTCAAAATTAACATTGAAAGTCCCATAGACATTTTTGAAGACTCATAAAACCGGAAGTACTGCTTTGATTAACATGAAACTTACAAAGTGTCTTGTAATAATACGTCTAAAGAAAATTTTATGATCATTTTGCTTTTCCTATCATTCTTACTCATTTTTGATTTTTCAACCCCCCTTTTTCAATGTTTGAAGTTTTATATCTCGAAAAGTATCAGTAGTAAAAATTCACCTACGCGCACTTTTTTATAGAACCATGTCTCTAGAATTTATATCTTGAATTTGGAAGTCTAGACTTTTAAAATAAAAAAGATTTCAGATTCTTTAGAAATTTCAGTTTTCCTTTCGTAGAAACCGGAAGTGACAAGACCGGAGGTTCATTTTGTTTCATATGAGACACATTAATATTAGCTATTTATTGGTTATAAAATAAAATACGTATTCTTAAATGTTCTCTTTAAACGCTGATCAAAAGAATTGCTAAGAATAATAATAATAATAATAAAAAAGACGAAAACAATAGGTCTTTTCGACAAAAGTCGAAAAGCCCTAATTAAGGACTAAGGGGCATCTTTTCTTTTTGTGTAATCACCTTATGCAATATTGCTCAGCAAAATTCAGGAGATGGAGGGAAAATGTTTGAAAATTCAGCCCCCCCTCCCCAAACAATTTGTCTGAGAATGCATGCATAAAACGTTTAAAATTGATTTAAATTTGCAAGACATTTTATTCTCTGTTTTGATCCTTTAAGTAGTTCCAGGAAATGAAACTGCATGGGTAATATTGGTGATATTAGATAAAAAAAAAATTGGCCAAAATTTTTATTGTATTCATTGTCACTGTGAGAGTATTATAAGAAATTTGGTACTCACCAATCACCATATTGTGCGATTTCTGCATTTTGCCACTAAATGCATATAACATGAATAAAGGAAAAAAGTAGGTATAATTAAGAAATTATCAAAGTTGATTTTTTTTTAAAAAAAAGGGTCAATCGTGAAGGTCAAGGTCAAGGAGTCAGAAATCATAGTTTGCTTGGAAATATCTTGTCATATGTAATACACATGACAAATATGAAAGCCCTATCTCTACTCAATCAAAAGTTAAAAGGAACATAATGAGTTTGTGAAACATTGATGATCCCGTATGGCAACAAAGCGAAGATTAAACTTTTTTAAAAATGTAAATTAAATATATTGGTACTCAAATTTAAAAAGTAGGTCAAACTACAAGGTCAAGGTAAAAGGGTAAAAGTATCCAGTGAAAGTTCTTCTCACAAGGATTACTTATGTGAAGTATGAAAGCCCTAGCCCTTACTATTCAAAAGTTATGGCCAATGTTAAATCTTTTAAAAAGTAGGTCAAACTCCAAGATCAAGGTCAAAAGGTGCAAGTGCTTGATATCAAATGAAAGGTCTTGTCACAAAGATTAAATATTTGAGGTATGAAAACCCTAGCATAACCCTACACAAAAATTGTGGCCAAGGTTAATTTTTTAAAAGTGGGCCAAACTGCAAGGTCAAGGTCAGAAGGTCAAAGTTCTTGTTATCCCATGAAAGGACTTCTCTCAAGGATTATATATATAAAGTATGAAAGCCCTAGTCCTTACCGTTTTAAAGTTATGGTCAAGGTTAATGTTTTTTCATAAGTACAGAAATCTCCAAGGTCAAGGTCAAAAGGTCAAATTTCTTGATATCCAATGAAAGGTCTTGCCACTAGCAAAACATATGTGAAATATAAAAGTCCTAGTATCTACCGTTCAAAATATATGCCCAAAATAAAATAATAAAATTTTTGTGTAAAAGTGTGTCAAACTCCAAGGTCAAGGTCAAAAGTTCAAATTTGGTGGTACGCAAAGAAAGAGCTTGTCACAAGGAATACACATGTGAAATATGAAAGTCATGGGTCCACTCAATCAAAAGTTATGGGCAAGGTTAAAGTTTTTGTGAGGGACGGACAGACAGACAGACAGACAGACAGACTGACAGACTGACAGATAGATGAATGAGATTTAATGTCCCCTCGCTTTCGCGAAAGCGGGGGACAAAAAATAGCTACATGGAGTAGGTTGAAATACCTACTAGGTATATAGCTGTAAGTAGCTACATAGGTAGAAAAAGTCTTTGGACCTACTACATACACCTGTTTATTGCTTTGATCTTAGAATTTCATATCGAGAATGAAGACTTGTAAATACATTTAATTAAGTAGTTGCAGCAAAAATATGCATTCCTTTTTGTTCCAGTGTCCAGTAACACAGAGGAGAATATTTATTGTGATTATTGAAGTCCTTATAGTACAATTTGTATTTTGTATAGTACACATTCCCCACTCGACACATACTGGCCCCCTGCATTGGACAAATTTTCCACCTTCTCCCCAGTGGAAATTCTTCGATCTATCTCTGAATAGTACATGCATATATTACATTCTATTTTTACATGTGATTGACAGAGGTGATAGGTTAATGAAGCCATGTTTACATGTTTACCTGTCGGACACGTTAATGAATGCCTCATATAATGACCTTGTGGTAAAATCTGATTGACATATTCCACTTGACCTAGAACTTTAACATGACCAACAACATGAAAGAATGATCAGCTTCTACTAAACAGAATTTACCACCAGAACTTAAGAACTTTGTTATAATTAGATGAGTTTATACAATACTTTCACCAAATGGAATTATTGATTTCTCAATGTAAAGTTTTCTGGTGCCAAACAGATGTATGCATGCATTCTTTAAAATTTGAAATACAGTTGTATTAAAAAATATTTGTAATTTTTTTTTAAATGAATATATTCCATTGCTGAAAGGAGAACTAGGCAGAGGAAAGGCATCAATTAAAACCTGTAATTTACCTATGATATGCATCATTAATTCATTAAATTATCAAAAATCACTCAGTGGTATTGATTAATAGAGTTAATCAAATTTAGTATACCTGAATATGAAAATAGCTTATAAACCAATGTTGACATAGTTATTCTGTGTTAAGGATATAAAACTGATTTATCTTTATCAGAACAGGATTCAGGACTTGTATCCACCAGGCCATTCAATATTCAAGTATCCCGCAAGCAGTTCAGTAATCAAGCAGTATGAGATGACATTATTTAACCTCAATATAAAGACAGGGACTCGAACCTCAGATAATTATCACAGGTAATTAATGAGACAGATTCTGTGTCATTGTTCCTTTATTTGTTCTTGTAATCAGATTAAAATCTTAAGTTCAGATAATCATTTAATATCTAGAGTTCATGTAATCTGACAGAAATCAAGGTTTAATTTATAAAGATTTTATGATTTGTGGACGATATGATACATTTACATGTATAGTCCTTTTATATAGAGATACAGTGATTAAGGTAACTTGTTTATTTTCTTGGTTAGATTTTCATTGTAATCCAGAGTTAATAAGGAAGCAGTTACATGTTGTTTACCATGTATATTATATTTACTTCTGGTTGGAATGTAAATGAATTTCATTAAGTAAACTAATAAGTACCGGGTAAATGACTGCACTGCTTTCATGTGAATAAAGCAATCACTGATTTTTATGCCCCACCATGAATATTGGCCAGGCATATAGATCGCGAGTTTGTCATGTCCATCTCACATCCTCTCTGTCCTTCCCTTGTGCTTTGCATTCAGCTAAGTTAAGCTCAGTTTCAAAGAATCTGTGTAAGATATCTTTATCAAACTCCATTTGCTGATACATATTGATCAGAGCTATTCAGGTGCATCAACATTTTTTTTTACCTCTACCTTCCCTTTGTCTTTGACTTCACTTTTCTTAAATTTGTGCTTAGCTCAGTTTAAAAAAAACTATTCATGATATTTTTATCAAACTTCATAATTATGCTGAAACATACTGAAATAAGCTACAGTGTATTTTTTTTACCTTGACTTTTCTTAAATTTGCATTTTGTTCAGTTTAGAAGAAACCATTATAAATGAATTTATTATTATTTAAACATGTTCCAGTCATAATATAATATATAAAAAAATCTTAATTCATAGCCATTATTGATTTAGTTGGTAGTTGATAAATGGTGAAGCCTGGATTAAGACTTTATTGATCTGAGATGTTGTATTGGACTGAGTTTATTACAGGTTTCTGTAATTAAACTGTTGTTGGGGGATGCTTCATTAATTAGTTGTATATTGACAGGTAATGATGTAGTCTGAAATAAACTCCAATGTTAGCTGTTCATCAGCTGTCCTTGCTGGACCAAACAGAAGAAATCTACCCCAATACTATACAGCAGAGAGAAACATGAACAGCTTGGGCTCATCATACCAAAAGTTACAGGTAAAAACTACCTGTATAGACCTCAGGTTACAAGCTACAGGTACAGACTACCTGTATAGACTTTAAATAAGAAATTACAGGGAAGAACTACCTGTATGGACCTCAGATAACAAGTTACAGGTAAGAACTACCTGTATAGTCCTAAGATAACAAGTTACAGGTAAGAACTACCTGTATAGACCTTAGATAACACATTACAGGTAAGAACTACCTGTATAGACCTCAGACAACAAGTTGCAGGTAAGAACTACCTTTATAGACCTCAGATAACAAGTTACAGGTAAAAACTATCTGTATAGACCTTAGATAACAAGTTACAGGTAAGAACTACCTGTATAGACCTCATATATCAAGTTACAGGTAAGAACTACCTGTATAGACCTCATATATCAAGTTATAGGTAAGAACTATCTGTGTAAACCTTAGATAACAAGTTACAGATAAGAACTACCTGTATAGACCTGAGATAACAAGTTACAGGTAAAAACTATCTGTAGAGACCTCAGATAACATGTTACAGGTAAGAACTAACTGTATAGACCTCAGGTAACGAGTTACAGGTAAGAACTACCTGTATAGACCTTAGATAACAAGTTACAGGTAAAAACTATCTGTATAGACCTCAGATAACATGTTACAGGTAAGGACTACCTGTATAGACCTCAGATAACACGTTACAGGTAAAAACTATCTGTATAGACCTTAGATAACATGTTACAGGTAAGAACTACCTGTATAGACCTCAGACAACAAGTTGCAGGTAAGAACTACCTTTATAGACCTCAGATAACAAGTTACAGATAAAAACTATCTGTATAGACCTCAGATGTTACAGGTAAGAACTACCTGTATAGACCTTAGATAAAAAGTTACAGGTAAAAACTATCTGTATAGACCTCAGATGTTACAGGTAAGAACTACCTGTATAGACCTTAGATAAAAAGTTACAGGTAAGAACTACCTGAATAGGTAAGAACTACCTGTATAGACCTCAGATAACAAGTTACAGGTAAGAACTATCTGTATAGACCTTAAATAACAAGATACAGGTAAGAACTACCTGTAGAGACCGTAGATAACAAGTTACAGGTAGGAATTACCTGTATAGACCTCAGATAACAAGACACAGGTAAGAACTACCAGTATAGACCTTAGATAAAAAGTTACAGGTAAGAACTACCTGTATAGACCTCAGACAACAAGTTACAGGTAAGAACTATCTGTATAGACCTTAGATAACACGTTACAGGTAAGAACTACCTGTATAGACCCCAGACAACAAGTTACAGGTAAGAACTACCTGTATAGACCTCAGGTTACAGGTAAAAACCATCTGTATAGACCTCAGATAACAAGTTACAGTTAAGAACTACCTGTATAGACCTTAGATTACAAGTTACAGGTAAGAACTACCTGTATGGACCTTAGATAACAAGTTACAGGTAAGAACTACCTGTATAGACTGTAGATAACACGTTACAAGTAAGAACTACCTGTATAGACCTCAGACAACAAGTTACAGGTAAGAACTACCTGTATAGACCTCAGATAACAAGTTACAGGTAAGAACTACCTGTATGGACCTTAGATAACAAGTTACAGGTAAGAACTACCTGCATAGACCTCAGATAACAAGTTACAGGTAAGAACTACCTGTATAGACCTCAGAAAACAAGTTACAGTTAAGAACTACCTGTCTAGACTTCAGATAACAAATTACAGGTAAGAACTACCTGTATAGACCTTAGATAACAAGTTACAGGTGAGAACTACCTTTATAGACCTCAGATAACAAGTTACAGGTAAGAACTACCTGTATAGACCTGGGAAAGTGGGACAGGCTGACAGACAGAGAGACAGACAGACAGATTGATAGATACAGAGGAAATCTAAAGTCACCTCTGGTTTCACCAGTAGGGGACTAATAATGAATGGAGATAACAAGTTGGGATCTTAGAACTAATCACCCAACTTGGATTTAATTACCTGTATTGGATATATTATTTCAAATAAGATATAACATGGTTTGTAAAAAAAAAAAAGGGGGAGGGGTATTTAGTTTGCTCTATATGAAGTCCACAATCTTTTAGGTGGAAGTGGTTATGATTTTTTTTTAAGATTCGATTTTACAAAATTTGTTAAAGTTTTCTTCTAAACCACTAACTGGTAGAAAGTTAAGGAATAGGATGTCTTGTGTAACTATGTAGAACTTGTAGCTTTATGTTTTGCCTCCAGTGCTTTGGTCAGTGCCCAGAATTTATTTAGGTGCACTAAACCAATAAATGTCTGTATTTGTGTTTATATAATTAGGTAGTGTTCATTGTGTACTTGTCATCACTTGGTCTGAAATAAAATTCTCATATACATAATTATGTTGATTATCTACAAACACCAAAACTATACACTGAATGTATATTTTAATTTAATATTAATAGTATAAATGTAATTATATTTTAATTATTTATTATTTTATTCTGATTTTTAAAAAATTATTTATATAAATATTTTAAATACAATGTACTAATTATTTATATTTCATAAATGTCAACCTATTACCATTCTCACTATTTGTCTCTTTCCTAATCAGTGGTTTTATGATAAGCCTACTGTTTTTATGCACTTTACATTCGAATGGAATTATTTCTTTGAGTTGCTCATTCTCATGCTAATGGAACAAAGATCTTTTAAGGAGATTTATACAAAGAGATGGACACAAGAAAGCATGGATTTGCTTCAATAACACAAAGATCAATTTAAATCTGTTACAAAAAAAAAAATCATAGGTTAACGGAGATAATTATTGGACAAATGTAAGTTAAATTTTATGAAATCTGTCATCCCTGGGCCAATTTTAAATGCATTAAAGTTGATTGTTTATGTAATTTTATTATTTTATTTACAAGCCAAGGAAAGGTAACATAACCTACGTAGCACATGTTCCTTGTTCCACATTGTTATAAGATATGACCTGTTGTCATGCTTACAGGGCTTAAACTTTTGAAGAAGCGTGAATTGAAGAGAATGTTAACAAGACTGACACATGTCTTCAAGTATTCCTAGTAGGCTGGCTATTGTTTTTCTGACCTTGTTGTATCTATTTCCCGTCAATTACAAACGATTGCCTTTTTTAATTACTTCTTTACATCTAATCAAAATTTTAATGTGGTTTATAGATTTTTTTGATCTGCTGGCGGAGTGAGACAGTTTAGGAATCACTATAATTGGGAGATTTAATTGTATTGAGATTTGGTAAAGTAAATTGATCATGCACTTTAAATGAAAATATATTTTTGTGATGTACATGATTTTATATTCATATTTTATAATTAAGTATTAAGCCTTTAAAATGCACTTTTATTATTTGATTTTATGCAAGGTTAATATCATTAACATACTAATAAATAAATGATGTAATTTACTTTCAAAGATATGACATGTGCAATGAATATTTTGATCAGACATTGTAATGTGTATTTGACTAGGTTTATATGTACGTCGAAAAATTGTGATTTGTAATTATATCATATTTACCGGTATGTCAAAATTAGATCTGAGACAAATCTAAATAATTGTTATTTTTTTTTGTATAATTAAGGTTAATCAAAGTTTTTAAACTTAGATTTGTTTTTATTTCTATAAATTATTTAATTAATTTGCATGATTTCCAGGACAGCTCTCTACCAACATTTGGAAAACCCAAACCTAAGATGAAGAAGCCTGGTCGCTTCTTCTCACTAGTGATTGTAGTGTTGGGACTGGGGATAGTTCTTACTCTGCTGAATATCTACGAGCTTCATAAAATGAGGGAAACTGGGGCATTACAACAGGTCAGTCAGCCACAGGTGGAGGCAGGGACAGGAAAACACGCGGTCAGGATGCCAGTAGTGTGGGTGGCGGGCAAAAAGGTAGGTCATGTGATGTATCATGTGACTTAACAGGGGAAAATGTTTTTGTGCATTGGTGTCTTATTTAGGTCAGTATCAGGTCTAAGGAATAAAAAATATTAAAATCTTAAATACTGATCAGATTATTTATCTCCCTTGATCAGTAAAAGTCAATGGTTTTTAATTTATTAAGGAAAAAAATGTGTAGTTAAATCAAAACGTACCACTCTGCATTAATATGGTGTGTTTAAAGAAAAGTAAAAAAAAAAAAACATTTTGAATAATGAAAACTAGAAGTTGTAAGAATATTATTCTTCAGCAGAGCTAGGTGCATCAAACAAATGCTTAAAATGGTACAAGGGGGTTTCCATTGTCACAAATGAGTTAGTACAATAGTTTGTCAAAAATAATCATAGCTATAGTCTTCTCTTAATTATTTCAGTTTTGGATTTGATCATTTTAAGCTTGTGTTTCCAGTATTTAGGGAGATAGAAATTGTTGTACTTTGAATATCTTGGATAGATTTTGGATAAAATATCCCTGGCATGTGCTTACAGTAATTGAGAGGATATTGTATGTTATCTAATTTAGTAAATCTTAAGTCTGGATAAATGAAGCATGTGTTTGCATGTTTACAGTATTTGAGAGGATAGGATATGTTGTATTTTATGTATTTCAGCTGGAGTCCGGATACTTGAAGCATGTGTTTGCAGTATTTGAGAGGATAGGATATGTAGTGGGTGATGGTGAATCTGAATTTGATGTACTCTGGTCACATGAATATCCGTTTGAACAGCTGGCCAAAAAAATCTCAGATCTCAAGCCTCATCAGAAGGTATGTTTTCCCCAAAACATTCAAAATCTAGGAAACAATCAGAAAAGTTTCTGCTTTAAAAATTTCAACAGAAAGTCAACAAAAAAGAGGATGACATTTTGTGCATTACTTCAGATGTTTATTTCTTTACCAATATACATGTACATTTATGGTTTATGTTGAATTTCTTTTTATGACTTTATATGGCATTTTCTGTTCTCACCTGAGTACAGGTAAACCATTTCCCAGGGTCAGGATACATTACCAATAAGGTCAGTCTAGCTGTCTCCAACAATCCGTATATACCCAGAGCCTTCAAGATTCCCAAGGAAAAGGACAAATTTCTACAATATGTAAGTTAAAGTGTACATAATTAGATATACAATGAGTAAGTCAGAGTGTAGTTAATTGTGTCAGATATACAATATGTATGTCAGAAAGTACACAATAAGGTCAGATATACAATATGTAAGTCAGAATGTACATAATTAGATATACAATGAGTAAGTCAGAGTGTAGTTAATTATGTCAGATATACAATATGTATGTCAGAAAGTACACAATAAGGTCAGATATACAATATGTAAGTCAGAATGTACATAATTAGATATACAATGAGTAAGTCAGAGTGTAGTTAATTATGTCAGATATACAATATGTATGTCAGAAAGTACAAAATAAGGTCAGATATACAATATGTTAGTCAGAATGTACACAATTAGATATACAGTGAGTTAAGTCAGAGTGTGGTAAATAAGGTCAGATATACAAGGTGTAAGTCAGAGTGTACATAATTAAGTGAGATATACAATGTGTAATTCAGATTTTAGTTTATTAGGTCAGCAGATATACAGTATGTTTTAGTATGTAGTAAATTATGTTAGATATACAATATGTAAGTCAAAGTGTACATAATTAGGTCAGATATACTATATAAGTGCAAGTGTAGTCAATTAAGTCAGATATACAATATTTAAGCACAAGTGTAGTTTATAAGGTCAATATGTGAAAGTCAAATCAGATATGCAATACATCATTCAAATGCCAATGGACTCTTTTATTAACTGTTTCCTGTGAGAAGACTATCAGTTTGTAAGTTATTGTTGCATTTTGAATGAATTATCATGAAAGCTTGTTTACAGGCAGAGGAGCACCCAGACAACTTGTGGGTCCAGAAGAGAAACAGTCACAGAGGAATCAAGATCAAACGTGTACAAGGTCAGTACTCCAGGAAAATCAAGGTCAAACATGTACAAGGTCAGTACTCCAGGGGAATCAAGATCATACATGTACAAGGTCAGTACTCCAGGGGAATCAAGGTCAAACATGTACAAGGTCAGTACTTCAGGGGAATCAAGGTCAAACATGTACAAGGTCAGTACTTCAGGGGAATCAAGGTCAAACATGTGTAAGGTCAGTACTCCAGGGGAATCAAGGTCAAACATGTATAAGGTCAGTACTCCAGGGGAATTAAGATCAAACATGTATAAGGTCAGTACTCCAGGGGAATCAACTCAAACATGTACAAGGTCACTACTCCAGGGGAATCAAGGTCAAACATGTACAAGGTCACTACTCCAGGGGAATCAACTCAAACATGTACAAGGTCAGTACTCCAGGGGAATCAAGGTCAAACATGTATAAGGTCAGTACTCCGGGGGAATCAAGATCAAACATGTACAAGGTCAGTACTCCAGGGGAATCAAGGTCAAACATATATAAGGTCAGTACTCAGGGGGAATGAAGGTCAAACATGTACAAGGTCAGTATTCCAGGGGAATCAAGGTCAAACATGTACAAGGTCAGTATTCCAGGGGAATCAAGGTCAAACATGTACAAGGTCAGTACTCCAGGGGAATCAAGATCAAACATGTACAAGGATAGTACTCCGGGGGAATCAAGGTCAAAGATATTGTCTTAATGTCTTTTTTCAGAACCAAAATTATTTCCCTATATATAGAACTAGAATAACTTCCCTTGTCTATTTCCAGAACTGGAGTAACTTCCCTTGTCTATTTCCAGAATGGAGTAACTTCCCTTGTCTATTTCCAGAATGGAGTAACTTCCCTTGTCTATTTACAGAACCAGAGTAACTTCCCTTTTCTATTTACAGAACAGGAGAAACTTCCCTTTTCTATTTCCAGAACTGGAGTAACTTCCCTTGTCTATTTACAGAACTGGATTTGTCAGACGAAGGCTCCTTTGTTCAGGTGTTTGTGGACCGACCCTTTCTTATTGATGGCAGGTAAGATTTTGTTCAGGTGTTTGTGGACCAAACATTTATTATCGATGTCAAGTTAAATTTTGTTCAGGTGTTTGTGGACCGACCATTTCTTATTGATGGCGGTAAGATTTCATTCAGGTGTTTGTGGACCGACCCTTTCTTATTGATGGCAGGTAAGATTTCATTCAGGTGTTTGTGAACCGACCCTTTCTTATTGATGGCAGGTAAGATTTCGTTCAGGTGTTTGTGAACCGACCATTTCTTATTGATGGCTTGTAAGATACAGGTGTTGTTCACATTCTTTTCTAACAGATACATTATTTCTTTTTTTTTTTTCCATTGAGTAACAAAAGAGTGTATGAAACAAGTGTTGAAATATTTACTTTTATCCCATTAAATTTTTTGTCCTCTATTGAAAAAGTGACACAAGAAAATTGTTCATAATTTCTAAAAATAACATGCATTGAATGACTGTCAATGTTTTCATTGTTTCCACCTTTTCTGAAAGACCCTGAGGGAGTATTTGTCCATTTTGGACAGATTGTCTAGTTTGTAATTTTATAAATTAAAACTGATTACAGGAAATTTGACATTGGAGTGTACACCATACTAACATCCATAGATCCACTGAGAGTGTATATCCTAGAGTCTGAGGCTTTATTCAGGTCAGTATAATTTTAATTAATGTGAGTGAACACCTTATTAACAATAATACTCCTAGAGAATGTGTATAGTTTTTAGCTCTATAGAATTCCTGATTATATTTGTAGGTTCTGTTCTCAGGATTACTACCCTTTTGATGCCCGGGACATCAATAAGTATGTGGTGGGAGACGCTTATACACCAGTCTGGGAGGTATAGTTGTCATTTTACTTTGACATATCCATTGTATTAAAAATATCAGTGTTGGAGATACCACAGTTCAATTGCTTGTACATTTTACATGTATATCTACTGCAGGCCTCTGGTTCATTAAACTAGTTGTGTCTTTAATTTCAACAGCTTTAAGAACAAAAGGGTTTTAGCTTTGTAAATAGAAAAAATAGTTGTGGATAATAGGGATAAATATGATGTGTCTGTTCCAAGAGAGATGGGAAGTGGGATGGTGAAATACTTGAGGGGGGAAATGAGTGATCTCTAAAGAAAGGTTTCTAATTACTTTTTTTTTATATAGATTCCATCACTGAAGAAGTTGTACAGAGAATTAAATTTCAACTTTAAGGAATCATTTGATGCTTATTTGGAAAGTCAGGGTTAGAGCAATTGTCTTCATAAAATTGAAAAGTGCACACTTTTACAAATTAATTTGATAAAATCCCATACTTACCGGAACCATCCCCATGAACAATGAGATTTGGTTGATCTTTTTTGTTTAATGAATGCAGTAAGAGAGATAACTTTGACTTTGTAGGTCACAATGCTAGGAAGCTGTGGAGTAATATCTCGGCTGCCATTAAGACAGTTTATTTACAGAAGGAGGCAGCCATCATTTCCGCTACAAGTAAATACTCATCTTCAAGGTAAGTACATGTCATGGAAATTTGGGGAAGGGGGCTATATAGGAATTATCTTGTCCATTTGTCCATGCCAACATTTACAGCTATAATTTTGTAATGGAGAATTATTGGAAGCTCAAACTTGGTACAGAGATTGATTACCAGTATGACCCAAAAGTTGGTCTTGGTCTTGACCCAAGGTCATTTATGTGAGTTCAAACAAACTGAAAGAAAAAGTACAAAGTAAATCTTGTACAGGCTCTATCTTGTTATAGTGAATCATTGGAATCCCATACAGAGTAAAGAGATTATTCATCACTAGAGGATGTGTCCAGATCAGGACTTAGTTATTGATATTCCAGTCCTACAAGTTCAAGGTCACTGGCAGAAAATGTGGATTGTTGTAATAAACTATTAAATCAATCTTATAATTTATTTTTATGTATAATCTATGTAATGACGTACTTTTATTGTTTAAGATAATATGTGCCTGTTTCGGATTAAGCGACTTTAAAGATTTTTTTACACGAATGAAATAAAAAAATGACTATGTTTTGTCCTAAGTGTGTAAAGTGGATAAGTAATAACGTGAAGCAAATTCTTGTTATTTCATAGATAAATAGTTTGAAACAGCGTTAACGTGCAGTACTTCCGTTGAAAGTTTACAACACAATGTTTTATAGAAAGTGGCAGACAAACTGACTCTAAAAAATCACTAAACTGCAAAAATCTTTGAACCGGAAGTGATGTCATCAAAATAAAAAAAGAGTATCAAGATTTTTTATGTTCTATGACTTAAAAGTTTCATAAAAATCTAACGGGCCGTTTACGAGAAATCGCATGCAAAGTTTTGCAAAGTGCCAGGTTTTCGATGAAATTTTTCAAAGTGTCAAAGTTTTTTATGAAGTTTTTTTAAAAGTGGCTCTCTATATATATTTATATATAAAGAGCCATGCCTACCATTTTCTTCTATTTCAGAGTATGGTAAGATTTTATCCTATAAATTATAGAGTAGTAAACCCTGACCAACATTCTTGTCCCTTCATGTAAACAATACAATTACTATGGCCTGGAGATGCAGATTTTGGTTTAAAGAAAATATTAAAGTTTCATAATCGTATTATAAAGCAATGATCAGAGATAACAACTCGTCATTGTCAGTTTGATACCGTACCTGACAGTGTATTTTGTCTTCACGTTATAAGTCATCCTTTTTGTACATATTTTGCAGCATGCATTGCTTTCAAAGTTGATCACACCCAAAGCAAGCTCTTGAGTAGCAAATAAGTATAATATTTCAAAGCTTGTTACAGAATCTTAAACTTTTTTAAAAAGAAGGTTGCCTACCTTATATTTTTTAACTAAAAGACAAAAAATTAATGACACACAATGGCGTTTTATTTATCTCGTTGATAAAGGTTTCAAATTCAGATATATTTTATGTCTTCCTCTTGCGAGGCTGCGCCACTGTATGCCATTGGTCAACTGTGTATGAACAGAATCCTTATCTAGACATTTTATTTTTTAAGGACATTCCCAACAGGTACACGGCATTGAATAAAACTTTGAATCAACGTTGATTGTATATGTTGATTCAACGTTTAGTTTACGTTAGATTTTGAAAATTGAGTTCAACGTTGAATCAATGATGAAAATCAATGTTGATTAGACATTTAATAAACGTTAATTCAACGAAAAAAATTTTCCGGGAGGTGGGGGTAGTCATTCCTTACTTAAATTTCAACCGTTTTATTGCAGGATTGCCAAGATTCCTTCATAATTATTTAAGGGATAGCGACCCTCGGTAAGACAGATAACTTTCAAAGTATAGAATTTGAATACTACTCACAGTTTACTTAATCAGTTTCCTAATTGAGACCTCTGAGTAGTCAATTTGATGAGATCTAACATATGATGAAAATATTACTTTCTATTTCTTTTGCCATTTTCTTTGTAATTTTTTTAGTATATTTAACAATAAAACATTTAAATCCAACATCAAAAGCCTTATAAATTGAATAAGTTGTATCTTTTTAAGGACTATTTTAAAAATTGTTTAATGTTTCCAGTACTCGATACAGTATTTTATAAGTATGACATTTTTTTCATATGAAGAAATATTTAGAAGAAAGATAAGTCCCCATCACAGATATATTTTTTCTTACAACCACATACAACATTGTACCCGTTACATTGTGATTTTCTGACTTAGGAAGCATCGCTCCATGATGTTCTCTTACATGATTTAAATAGGTATGATATTAAGTATTGTTTTCATATGCACCTCATATATTAAATTTAATGTTGAAATAATAAATTTTTACTCTGAAAAGCTACAAGATGTGTCACCTGACGCCTTATCTGATGATGAATCCATCAGTCTACCTACTGATTCTAATCCACCCACCTTACCATTCATTCCAAAAGCAATATCCACGATTCCAGCGTCGTATGTCGAGCCACCTGATATACCCGACAATAGCAGAAACGATGACCAAGTAGAACCTCAGAGTGACCAACACATTCCTCATGACCAGCAACAGGACACTGAAGTCACCGGAGTTGAAAAATCGCCTTCATTAGCCAGACCACAACGGCAGCACGTCCTGCCTCAGAAATACTCAGACTTTGTGATTTACTGACATTCGTTTTATGCTATACTGTATATGTATGTGTAGCTTTGTTTCGAACATGGGGCAGAATAATCCCCACACCTGATGGCAGTCTACCCAGTGAAGGTGTTGTTTAATATTACACACAGTTAGTTTAATATCCTTTTGCCAGTTAAAAAAAAAGAATTTAGACAAAAATTGTCAGTAAAAAAAAGGAAAAAGAAAGAAAAATGGTAGCGCCAGGCATTGGCACTCTCCGGAATTATTATTTCCACCCTTGTAATATTGTTATGTGCATTCTTGTTGTTTCCGGTTGCATTATTAAAGTGCGCGCTTTGTACCTCCACATGTGCTGTGATTTCTCACAACTTATACCTTACTCTGACTGGCGCTATCTATTCTCTGTGTTCAATTTCTTCATATCATGATCTGCACATAAAAATCATTTCTGAAAAAGTAATCAGCACTTCATACTTCAAACTATTTTCCATGTGGCTCAAATGTTTTCGTTGTTTATGAAAATCAATTTTACAAATTCAAAATTTTCTGAGGTGAAATTTATAGCAGAGGGTCGATACCCCTTAAAGGAAAACATACCGTATATCACTTTATGAAAAAAAATTATACATTGTAAACGGTTAATATTCAATTCCCTATCATTAGTTAATTGTGTTACAATAAATTTTCACCAAAATACATTTTATCATTGAATGTGTAAAATTCCTATATTTACCATCCTTAATTTTTTTTGTTAGTTATTATAGTTAGTAATCATATACAGTATGACCATATCGTTATATTTTTTCATCAGTATATACTTCGTAATTTTCTATATTTGGGCCAATTGAATTTCATTATATGACCATATCAGCGAATACAATATTAGAAATTGTTGTCAGGCGTTTTTCTAACTAGTTGTAAAGAACAAACGCAAAGTAGTTTGAACTTGATTGGTGTTCTCCCTGGAGATGAAGAGTTCTACTAAGTGAAAAAGGTCCGTGTGAAAAAGGTCCGTGTATATATATATATATATATATATATATATATATATATATATATATATATATATATATATATATATATATATATATATATATATATATGGATTGCACACATATGCTAAAACAAATTTGGATGAAAAGATAATTGGAATTAACGTTTAGTAATTTTTTGCATATTTTTCTTTGAACGATGAAAAACTGTGATATTTAATTAAAACCCTTAGTAACGCATGCTGATTTTTTGGTCAAGATCATGTAAGGGTAATATGTTTTGAAATTAAGAATATGTTGCAAATTTATCAGTAGGTAAGGTACCTTTGCATATGCCCTTATGCCATTATGTACATATGGAAATGTCTAAAAGTTTATCGGTTTACCCGACTACTGCTTCTGATCTCCACAGTTTATATTGATTTTAATTCATTTTCATGTATATCTTAAAAAGTAGCAGCATAGATCTGCTAGATGAGTTCAGGTATTTCAGCCGGAGTTGAAACTACAAACATTATACAAATCGTTGAAGCATATTTTGTGTAAAAACATGAACCACTCCGACATTTCTGGAAATCATTCCGATTCTGTTCAGGATAATGGTGCCATCTTAATTTTGACCGTACAGATACTGCCTGACTATAGGATCCAGATTCCTTTTGGAATGATTATGATGGTTGAGAATGCTGTTTCAATCTTTTTGCTGTATGTCAGTAAACGCATGTGCTTCCAAATTCGAATCATGTCTCTCAATTTAGCTTTGTCTGATCTTTTGACGGGATTTTTCCTTTGCATACCTTACAACTGGGTTAACGAGCTGTATCAATGTAATATTAAGAAGTATCCAACTGTTCTCTGTTACATCGTATCACTGTTCGTCATTACCATGATGAATGTCGACCGTTGCTGTGTCTTCGTTTTGGCAATGCGATATTACTCTTTTATAACGAAGAAAATGATAATAAAAATGTCCGTTGCTTTATGGGTAATAGCAATGTTCATAACTTATGGCATATTGTTCGATTGGGATGAAAAATATGGCCTGTCTTGCTTAATAGTACGCTTAGCTATGTTGAAGAGAAATGCGGTGACATATACTTGCAGATTTTTACTTTTACTCCTTCTGGTTTTTAACCTCGTTATCTTTTTATATCTGATATTTCAGTTTCAAAGGTTGGTGCATTCACACAGAAAACTTTCTGCCCATTCTACAATAGTTGGGAGGACACAAGGGCGTATCTTCAAAAAAATGTCCACCATCATTGGTGTGTTCTTGATGACAACTTCCCCTTTATTGATCTTAATAACTTTTCCGTTCGATTTCGACTTAATAAATTTCAAACGAACATTCAAAATAGTGTCAATTATTGTGGTTTGTAACAGCATTTGTAATCCTGTTTTCTACGTTTGGAGATTCAGTGAGCCTCGTTTTCATTTAATGAGAGTAATGTGTTTCTGTAGTAAAAAACAACGGTGGAAAATGAAACAAAAGTATAATCATAAAAATGCATCTTACGTCATAGATATCAAGAAAAAATCAAATGATGGAAACGTTTCGTTGAAAGTACATTCTTTACCCACTGAGCATGCCCAGTAAAACCACAAATTAACGATGATATTAAATGACTTTTGGACCACTTGTCTATATGCACATAAAAGTTTGTGTTATTGATGTGTTATCATTTCTAAACCTTGACGTTGGGTATAAAAAACCAAGGCATGTGGACGTTAAATAAAGAACAAAGTTGAAATTGTCTGATGAAGTCAAAGGAACATTAAGGGAATTCCAGTTTCCATTTTGTTGAGTACCCTTAGAAAGAGGTGCATAGAGATCCGGGTCAGCGGGACTAAATTTGATCTTATGTGCATGGAATCTTTTAATGTACAGTGAAACCTGTCTAAACTTACTTGCATAGGGTCATGGTGTCGGATTGCACAGTGTATAAACATGGAAAATAGTGAAAATTAGAAAGAATTTTAACGTCTTAATTCATAGTTTGGCGGATTGCAAAGGTCTGGGATTAAACAATACATAGAAAATTATACCATAACCCTTCTCCGAAAAGACACAAAATCAAAGAAATGCCCCCTTCATAAAATAAATGATAACGAAATAACAGAATGGATATTTTGAATTTATGTACAGATAAAGTTATTTATGTAATTTAGAGAAATGATCGTTATTCATAATCTAGACTTTGCAGGATTTCTGTAAATGTCATGTCAGTAAAGGATTTTTTTTAAAGAACACTAAACAAAGAACAGACTTGAAATGGCCTTACATGTAGTCATTGAATTCCTGCACCCGATTTGATGAGAACCCCGAAACAAGGAATAATCGGGTAAAAGATCAAAGAGATCGGCAGGGCTTACCTCAATATTATGTGAATGGAATGTTTTATACATCAAACATTATATTATAACCCCCTCTCCAACACAAGCACAAAACTCCAAAACAGACTGTCCCTACATAAAATAATGATAAAAAGATATATAGAATGAATATTTTGAATTCATGTGCATATGACGTCATTTATGTAATTCTGTATCTTAAACCTTTGATTTTATATCATTTTTAAAAGTGTGTGGTACCTAAATAATTTTTCATGATACCATTTGCAAATATTACCATATTTTTTTCACCATTGAAAATTATATCTAATGAACTTCCTTATAGCTCTATGTACAATAATATTTTATCTTATATGTTTCTTGTTGACTGTTGATCACCTTACATGCGATGAATATTTTTATGAACAAATACTTTGCTCGCCTAGGGGTAATTCCGTTTTAATTTTTTTTCTCTAATGTCAGATCGAGTATGGACAAGATAGGGTAAGACGCCTTTTTGGTCCTTGGTTTTGGTTGTCTTTTAGAATGATGCAACAGTTGAAGGTCAGAAAATAAGTCGATTTAAGATTTTTCTCATTTTCATGCAATTTTTAATCAATTTTACAGAAAATTTTCTCTCCGAAAACATAGAGCACAAGCTTGCCTATCAACCAAATATACATATTTCATACACTAGGATCAGATGCATCTTGTGTGGAAAAATCTCAGGTAGGGAAGCTTGTGCTCTATGTTTTCCAAAGTGAAGGGTACTGAGTATCTCAAATTTGACGAAATTCCACCAGAGTAATTCGGTAAATCGTTCTAGTTCTGCGCCCTCTAGTGGTCTCTGCGTATGCTTTGAATAAAAAATCGATGCTGGTTTTCAAACATCAATTTAACGAACTATCACATTTTTAACTGTGATCAGTTATTTCAACATCAAACAATGGGCCAGATTCAGCGGCTATCATACCTTCTCCTTTCGACACCTAAGATTTACATACAGTCATCAATATGCATGGTGCACGTATTGAAAAAAAATCTGTATTGTTATTCTGTTTTTCTTTTTTGTTGTTTGTATGAAATGTACACATTGATAAAACCTTCCATCGTTTGCTTCAATTGTGATTGTGCGCTTCCAGCTGACATTAAAACGTCTCAAAAAGATACAAGTATATGGAAGCTTGTCTTATGATTAGAATGTGCATAGTGATGTTGTTTAATTAATAAAGATTTAAAAATATGTCATAATTTTGTATGGTTTCGTGGAGATAAGCATGATTAAGATATTAATGATATCCATTGCCACTGAAGACAGAAGAACACATTAAACTTATTTTACACACAATGTTCGCATGTAAATCGCATAAAAGAGAAAGCTTTTCAGAAGATACGTTTTAGAGATTTTGTTAGATCTGTGAGTGATTGAGCCCTCTCAGAGTTAGAAAATAATTTTTTTCACAATTTTTTCTCTACCCTAAATTTAAATCTTAAATTGATTTTGAGATTGAAGTTTTAAAATTAAGAAAACAGAGATATGTTGTATATATTGTTATTTGGTAATTCGTTTTCAAGGATTAGGAGTGACATTAAATGACATAACAACAAAGCAGTGGCATTTGGTTGAACAGTAACGTGCGGATCTTTGGCGAGGTTCTAATTATATATTGAAAGGAAAGAGAAACGCAGGGTAGCATATTATTCGATATTTTTTGACTGCATGATAGAAAAATATGACAATTGGTCAGCAGAGAATGTAATTTAGTATGCACCAAAATCAGTTTCAAATCAAATCTATGTTCAAGTCACATATTAAAAGATTGAGGGGCAATATGAAAACCATCTATCCTTCTGTGTTCAATAAACCAGAAGTGAAAAATAATAAATTAGTGATCACATGATCAGTACGTACCGGTTCGTGCCGACAATGCAGGTAACAACATTGTCTTCGTTTGTAAGGCTCATTATATAAATTGCAGTCTAGAAGAACTTGGATTCAATTCTACAAGTGGTAAACAGACAGGTGATTTTGAAAACTTTCTTCCTTAGAAAGGGAAGTATGGGTATTAGTAAGATTACCACTTAGTTCTTATCAGTCAGGTTTCTGCAATATTTGATTAAAAATAGAGAAAAAATATAAATATGACAGTGGAAATTCGGACTGTAATAATTATCACGTTTATGGCCCAAACTCTACTCATTTCTTTATATGCAGCAACTCTGTTACATTGCAATAATATTTCATTATTTAAGAGTTTTGTTGCTTGTTTTATTTTGATAATCAAGAAAAAAATGGTCATAGTGTGAAAATTTGAGGTATTTCCCTAGAAATACTCAGGGGCCCCTAGCATGAAAACGAGGCCATTGACCTAGTTATTTGAAATTGAAATTTAACACAAGAATCAAAGGTGTACAATGTGAAATAGGTGGTTTTTCGTTTTTATCAGTGGAATTTTTAGTCATCTGAGTAAAGGTATACCTTAAATATCAGAGATGGGATCAGGTACCATAGGGGTAATAATAATCCCCTGTCGAGAGCTTAATCTTTATATGAAAGGTCAAACATAAAAGTCGGTACATTATTAGGTAATGCAGAACAAAAAGTAGGAAAAAATTAAGTTTTGTTTACATCAATTTAAACGCATTTTTGCGTAATTATTATTTATTCACAGACTTTCAATTACTTTGATCAATTAATAGGCACTGTCAGACGGGTAAATAAACCGTTCGATTTCGTTACACCCGATTGCACACTGGCCGACATGTATTACTCCTTGTGTGGTCTTAGATATTTTGTGTTTATTCCTTGTTTTTATGTGCATTTTCTATTTGTAAATTATGTATTAACCTGTATTTTTCCTGATACTTTTCTCCTGTTCTTGAAAAAATACGTTAACTTTGATAATTTCATCGCCAAAATTTTATTTTAAATGGCCATCACATTTAACAGATTTGTCCATTGCAGCACCTATCAAAGTTAGGGTAGTATGATTTAGTTCCACAACACTTGTAACCCCTGCCGTAGGTAGGGGTATTGACAACTCCATTACAGCAGGTGGCCAGATGAGGGTAGAAGGCTTTGGTTCCACAGCAGTCTTTTCCCCTCCCATACTTATTGATGACACCATTGCAGCAAATATCAAAATTGGGGTTAAAAGATTTACTTCCACATTTATCTGTAAAAAAAGTATTGTGCAGAACAAAATTATTAACGAAATAATGAAGCAAAACATTACACAAAATAGCAAACATTCCTAATAATTATTATTATTGAATGAATTCCAATTTCACATGATTTACTCAGTAGAAGAACGTATCATAAATTCAATGTGCAGTAAAATTTAAACGTCACAAGCATAATATTAAATGTAATTTTTTGTTTTCAATATTTTTCTTGACTGTTGCATACTACTATACAGGTTTTGTTTATATATTCTTTGTTATTCATATCAATTAACCACTTTTGATTCAACCTGAATAAGAATAATGATACAGGGATTGGAACCAATATCAAAACACCGAAACTGCTTCATTTCATGTAAAATTATTTACGACACTAAAAGTTTTTTTCCTATAAAACCTTCCACATTTCCTCCGAAATTGCGTTTTGACTTAATTATTAATGTACAAAAAAAATAAAGTTTTAATTTTCTTTTTTTAAGTTTTCATGTTACACAAAGCTTTTCCCCATTTTTCCATGCCCAAAACAATTTTGTACGCCAAGTGCCCTTTTACAAATGATTAAATATATACGTTTTACTATTTATACAAAATACAAACCCCGCATTAAGAAAGTTTCAGCTACTGGTAGGCATAGAAAAGAAACAAATGTCAAATACGAAATCATTCTGCTCGAGTCCAGATCAAATCCTACAGAAAAAAGGAAAATTTGCTTTGTAATTATATAATAGTTGAACTATTTTATCATTTAAAATTGTACAAATTACTTTACATTCAATGCTCTACATGTTTATTATTCTCGTCCTCATCAAAATACAAATACATGTATAAAATCTCTACCTTAGATGTATTGGTTGCTAGTCTAGATCTGACTTCCTCAAACATAGAAGAATGTTAAGCTTTTATAACAACAAATAAATTTAAATCATGAAACCTGTTTGACTGAATGAATCATCACCATTTTTCATAATTAAGGTCTTCCGTCTTCACGGAAGACCTTATAGTGATTCTACTGTTTCTTCTTATTATTATATTTCCGTACATCTAATTTTGTGCACGCGATTTCTCGAAGACTTTTGAATGGATTTTCATGAAATTTGCAGGTATAATGTGTTATTATCTGAAGTTATTTTATCCGAGAGATTTTTTGGAAATTCCTTTCTGGTGCCAAGTTACGGACAATTTCTGATTTTTAAATGATATTTTGTCCAGGGTTAATCTCAAGAACGGTAAAAGATATCACTGTAAAACTTTCAGGGATTATAGATCGTGATAAGTACTATCCAGGACGCGATGTTTTGTTCGTCGTCTCTACTTCCGGTCGTTACCAGATGCAAATTTAAAAAGTCGAATTTTTTTAACTTGTTTTTTTTTCAATATTTTTGAATTATTTTAGTATGGTGAATAGAAACTTTTTCAATTAGGCTGAATATATAATTTGTTTTTAAATTGATAAATCCAAACTCGAGATATTAACAATCAAAAATTTAAAGCGGTACCAAAATGGCGGCGGTCTTTGTCAACTCCGACATTTCGCAATAGGGGTTTACAAAGGCAGCCGAGCGTTTGCTTGAACGAAAGTAACATAAGGAGCAATGAAATTTGAAGGAAAACTTGTATTGTCACGACATAGGTACGTTGCAATTCTGTGTCAAACTACATTTGTAATTCAAGACCTCCTTACACGTCTTCTTTAATTGGTTTTAGTTGTTTCTCAAAGTAGAAATAGAAAAGAATTAATGTGCAAATGAAGTACAATACCTACTTTCTTTTGTTTAGCATCACGGAAACACATAGCTTAAATCGTACATGTAGTTATAAGTAATAGTTTTTCAAGATACAATATGTATAGTAAGTACAAAACGAGACGTTCCATAATAATAGATAAATTTTTCTAAGAGTTTGTCATTGAAATATTGCTACTTAAACATTTTTACTCACAAAAAATTGAGGTACCTTACCAGGCATTTCTGAGAGATACCAGGGGTAGTTTTTCTTATATAATCCTTTGGGGAAGAAAAATAATTTCCGAATTTCAAATTTTTAAGTGTTTGGATGTTTTAAAAACGTTTAGAAACTGCTTTAGAAATCATAATGTTATTAAAATTTTGAACATTTTTCATACATTTCGAAGATGTACAAAACAGATTTTGAGGAACGTCTCGTCTGACCTTCATAGAAAAGACAACTGATACAATAAGAATTTTTTTTTAAAGACAATTCTTTTTAAAAGACCGTTTAATTGACTTCATATAAACAATTTTTTTTTCTCAAGTTATTGAACATAATTGAATCTTATTCCTTGACCCTCGTAGGGCGATCGAGGCATTTTTTCGGTGAAACACGCCACCTTTTTCATGAAACTGTAGGTAATCGGAATCATCCACTTTCGTGATTAACAGGAAAATTATATATAAAAAAAAATTAACCATCTCACCTATTTAATAGAACATTCCAAGTGAAAGGCGCTAAGATTTACTCGTGGCGTCTGGCGCGAAATTATGAATAGTGACCCTCCTTTCATAATTCGAAGACAGATTAACTGTTGCAGAATTACATGTACATATAAGTGAATTTAGAGAATTTGTTCAAATAGCGTAATCGATAAGCGTATCAGATTTTCACGCTAGTGACCCGTTTCAATTATGAGTATGTCCAAAAAATGTTTAATAGATTTTCAGCTCGATTTTAGGGTTATTTTTCGGAATCAGACGGAAGACCTCTCGTTGCTCGCAACGAGATCGTTTCTAGTAACATAGATTTTTGGTTTCTCGGTCAAATTGCGCAATTTGTGTCATTCTTTGTAATACACCACTCATTCTCGGCTGTTACACTGAACGATGAAACATAATATATTATGCAATTTCTCTCATTTCAACTTTCAGAATTGAAAACAAGTTATGATATCCCTGTCATTTTTGCTTCAGGACTAATTCCAGAATTTGGTATATAGATACAAGTCATCAATATTATCACTACACATTCTGGACGGTAACTGTAGCAATGCGAATCTGGCAGGCTATCGTCATCCTAATTTTATGATGACTTTTGTATTTTGAAATATCGAATTTGATTTCAAGTTCTAATGTAACAGTTATGCTATTAAAATTTTAAATCATAATGAATGAAAAATCAGGAGCACTACAAAACAACCCTACAACCCTCGAAAACGCGGACCTGTGTTAAGTTGGTATGAAAAGTAATAGGGATTTTTAAGAGTTTTTTTGTTTTTGTTTTGTATTTGTTTTGTTTGTTTTTATTTTTGGTTGTTGTTGTTGTTTTTTTTTTTTTGCTTTTCAACAAAGAACTTTATTTGGTATTAACCAATATTTGCCCCCCTAATCAAACTTTGACGGAGAAATATTTTATTACGTTCTTAAACAGGGGGAGATATGCTGACTTCAAAACACTGAATATTTTTATAAGCAATGACGTCATATGTTTGAAATGACCTCATGAAAATGGCGTAAATGTTAATTTCCATGATTTTTACAGAAAAATATATATATTACGTCGATATTTTGAGTAAAAGTCACAGAGCGCAGGTCTGATCAGTGTCAATATTTTGATATAATGTGTAGAATGATAATATCAATGAAATATGCAAATATTTTTCTTGAACAAACTTGCTCTCTATAAATTTTAAAGCTAAAATTTTGTCCATTTTTTCCTCATTCTAAAAAAAAATATATAAAATCGGACTGATTGTGACGTTATAAAAACCAAAATTGTCAATAAACTACTTTGAAACTTTAATATGTTCTGTTCATTTATATTTCTTATACAATTTATAGAGTTCAGCACATTTAAAGCAAGAATTTTTCAAAATTTAACTGTTGTGGGGGCAAAGATATACAATATACCAAATATAGTTATTTCTGTCAACCCCCCCCCCCCCCAATACATTTTCACTTTTGTGCAAGTCTAGTTTTTTTTAGCTTTAATTTCTAAGTTGTATTTTTTCAACTGGGGTGGACATCCCTGGAAAAAAATCCTGGATCCGTGCCTGATCAATCGACAGTTCAAAAACTTACTACTTTTCAAAGTTATATACAACCTTTCCGCAAGATGATTTAAAGTTTTTTTTATTTCTGCTTTTTCCATTAAAATGGAACAGGTAAATTTACTTACCTTTTAATTGGTCATTTGCAAAATTATTTTGTTAAAAATTAGTCTGATTGTACACACAAGTACTCTGAAATTGACATCAAAAAGGTGCTTGAGTTTCTGATTGACAATACTTATGTGCTTTTTGAAGAACAGGTCTTCCAACAATGTATTGGAATCCCCATGGGTACCAATTGTGCTTTTTTATTTGTAGACCTATATTGCATTAACATTTGATATGAAGGAGACTTTGTCCAAAATTCTATACTTTAAAAGAAGAAAACAATGGCTGTGGCCTTCAATTCGACATTTAGTTATATCGACGACGTATTGTCAATGTGCAATGGTTATTTCCATTATGTCGATTCGATATGCTTCAGCGAACTTGAAATAAATGATACCACAGAGTTTCACAAATCCGTGTCATATTTGCATATTTTATAAGAGAAAGATGTTAATTATAAATACTTAAACTTTTCATCTTCCCTTACTTATGCAACAATAAACCTTCAACACCTGCATACTGGGTTTCTATCTCTCAGTATATTCGATACGCAAGAGCATGATCTACGTATGTACAATTTCTAAAACGATGTAAATTATTGACAGAAAAGTTATCATTTCTTAAGTTCTTTGGACAATACAACGATCTTGTCAGAAAAAACAATATATCATTAAGTGACATGCTGCTTTCATTCAAATTAAATGACAATTATATACATACTGAATTGTAAACGGATTTCGATCATAACAAGGACCACACGGCGTGAATGGCAGTTCGGCAGGGGATGCTAGCTCCTCCATAGCACCCGATCCCATCTCTGTTTCAGGTGTCTGTGTTTACTTCGCTCTAATGCTCCAAAATGTTAAAATATATACATGAATTCATTTTTTAACTACTCACGCAAACTGCTGAACACATAAAATAAGATTAGTAAGAATGTGTGTTTGTAGTAAAAGTAAAAATTATTGCAAATGAAATATTTTGCTCTTTCCATACATGTAATTTGTGAACTGATGCTTTATAATCCAATGTAAGTTCTTTTGATAGTTAAGTTTTACTTAATATCATTGAAGTTCTTATCAATATAACAATTAAATTTTGCTCTTCGTCAATTCTTATTTAAATTAAAATATGCTTTTATATTTCCCATGTTTTGTAAAGTATTTTTTACTAAATATTCTTTTTTTTTAACCAACATTTTATGCCCATGAAAAGAATATAGGTCATTTGAAACTCTCAAGGATTTGAGAGATCAAACTCCCGCCATTTTAAGAAAAAATAAATGTATCATAACATACACTTATTTCAAGAATATTATGCTTTTCTCCCAATCTTTCAATTTAAATCTCTGATAAGTGTTTGCATTGGAAAATACGGGAACAAGTTATAAATGTCAATTGATGTTGAGATTCCATATAAGAGAGAATCGAAAAGGACTGAAATGATCGTTAATAGAAGAATGAAAAAACAAAATTTAGACGGTAAATGTACCGGTTGTCGGAATGCAAAGGAATCATAGACCAAGAACAATATATGATCAAAGTAAAAAAAGTTGCATCCTGTAAACGTACTAAAATTATTTGGATTCAGAAAACAGTAACAATATTATCACAGATAATTCAATTTATGCCGCTATGAGAAATACATTTTACACCTTAGGATAATTCCGCATATCTCTGCGCAGTCTGCAGGATATGCGCCTTTAACGCAGCGCAATTATCAAATAACCTTTCATTGCGAAATCGCAAACTTTGATTTTCTTGACAGAGTAACCCAATCAAAATCCTTGATTTTGTTGCGCCATATTTGTTAGCCTGGTAGTGCCTTGGAAAA